AGAGAGAAATACTACTTTATGAATAAAGAATGTAATGAAAAGAAATCTCATTTGACATGAAATATCAGAGTACAGTCCTTAGAATTGAAATTTTCAGAAATTCACAAATTCCTTTTTTTTGTTTCATAATTTTAATTTGTCATCAAAACATATACGCAACGATTTCCTTTTGCGATTTTTTCAGTCCTCGTATGTCCTGTAAGACATCTAGCGATTCAATTATTTACGACCACGATTTATGGTCTTGCATTTTCTTCTAGCTTGTGAAAGTTCGCTGTATTCCAAGGAAATTCATTTCATAGTTGTACTGAGATACGCTTCAGTAGTTAAAAACACTAAGACATTAAATAGTAAACAAACAAGTAGGTACATATATAAAATATGGAAACATTTAAACAGCTATCCAAAGTCAACAATTTTGTAAGATTATTCTATTTAGTGACTCCAGATGCAATCTATATATCCTTAAGAATTAATCCGACACAAATAATGTCAAATAAAATCAGTATAATGCGTTTGAACTGTTTGAATAATAAAAATAAATTTTATCATGAAACGAAACAATGTAACACACAACGTAAGCAAATCACCGCGTGTGATCCTCTTCCGATATTGCATACTACTATTCTACCTTATAATTAACAAAGGTCTTAATTTAACGTGTGACTTAAATTGGCTTTTTGGGATATGTTCATGCATTAGGACATGACATACCTTATAAGGGATTTATTTCTTTGTTTAATGGCCCTTCTAAAAATTTTCAATCATATTGGAAAGCCACCACTTGCCAGTGGAGGGCTGCAAATTGACACATACTCGGCACTTATGGTCATTGAGCATTGAAGGATCTTTTTCGTGCTAGCACTTACTGCGACACGGGGACCTCGGTTTATACGGTCTTATCCGAAGAACCCGTCTCCATGCCCTGCAGTCAAACCCGCGACGTACATTAGGATGAATTTCCTTCTTCTTTCTTTGGACAATATTTGTGATTTAATAATTAGCGTTATTTATTTTTTGCATTACCAAGGCCATCGCTAATAATTAGCAAGTAAAATTAGATGGTCGCTAGAAATTTCTGTTTTTACGTTACGTAGTATGCAAGTATACATCTTATATAAAAGAATGATGTGTATAGAGCTAGATTTAAAAACAAGGTAAATTACTGTTAAGAAACAATTAACGATAAGAACGGCGACAAACTGGAGGAAATATATGTTTATATGTACCTTCCTACCTACTGCAATGAAATATACATATCAACTGAACTGCAGAGTAAAATGAATGATCTAAAGGAATTGAATCACCTTGTAAACTTTGTAAATTCATTTAAGAAAGTGTGTTTATAAACTACAGTTGAACTTCGGTATCTCGAACACGGATATCTCGAATACCCATGTCGAAGTCATTTTGAAGTCCCAACTACTTATTTCCTTTAGTATTTTACCCTGGATATCTCGAATCTCCGTTTATATAGAAGTATTTTCTCGGTCCCTTCAAGTTGGAGAGTTTTGACTGTATATCAAATGTAAATTCAATGAAATATTAGTATTATGCTCAAGTATATTTTTGATTTATATCAGGTGACAGTTTTGCGGGAACATGTAACATATGTATCAATGGAATGCCTTTCACAACCTACGACCGTGACAATGATAACCATCAAGCTTTAAATTGTGCCGTATGGAGTAAAGGAGGTTGGTGGTATAATTCATGTCACAGAAGTAACTTGAATGGATTGTATGGTGACAACAGTTACGGACAAGGTGTGACTGGGAAGAATGGAAGACATTGAGCTATTCTCTCAAATCATCCACTTTGAAACTCAGGAAATCTTAAGTTTTGTAATTGTTAAAAATACGTTTAATCACAGTACTAGTGAAACCAACAAAAAAAGAAAACCTTAGGCAAAGTCATCGTTACCTGATATTTGATAGATGAATGAAAAAGTTCAGTTTTGCACTTATAAGATATCCCAATCATAGGCAAAGATTTAGTCTCCAACTGAATTTTAAGATGTCCGGATCATCATGCTTATTTTAAGACTATTAATAGGAATGAGTCCGTGAATATTTTTTTTAAAAATGCATTAAATATTACTGGATTGAGTTTTTTCTCTGCTAAATAATATTAAATGGATAGAAAAATCATGCTTCTAAGAAATATGAACACGAACAGAAATAAACTCAAAAGTCCATTGGAAAAATACAAATCGGGAGCAAAGCAATTACGGACTCTTTAAACATTAGAGATGGGACACGGTGCCATGGAGGAATAAGCATCCCGGCAGGTGTGTTAAGGAAGCACTAAGATAATCTGATTTGACTAAATCAGTGATACAATATAACGTCATAGTAGGCGAGATGACGTCAAATTTAGAACACAAGTTTTCTTAATATTGTTATTTACAGATATAATTTAGCACCTGAAAATGAATGGAAACTTGCAAATATAAACAAAAATCCTATGTTTTTATTTTTTATGCTGTATCTGTCACTTGAATTAAAATCTCCCGACCCATGACGTCATAACTGTTCAACAAGTAAATTGAGAATTGATCATGTTGTGTAACGAGAATTTGGCTAAGACAGCATGTAAAAAGATACGCAAAAGGGGGTTTAGAAGCAAATACCGTGAATATTGTGTGTGATTCATTTAAAGTTAAAGTTTGTTAAACAGGTATGCTAATTTATTTTCCTGTACCATAGGACTGGCGGTAAATTTAGATTTTGCTTTGATGTTGCTGTGGTGTATTTGCCGGAAGAATCACACTTTTTTAAGTCAGGCCCACTTTTTGGCATCAAGCCATACTGTGACAAGACCTTGACTGATAAATAAATGATGTTAATTTCCAGACCTTGGCAATGGCTGACGAATGAATGAAGTCAACATTTTTAATTTAAAAATACTAACATTAACTTGCCAAATTCGCCACGTAATTTTTTTTCCGTATTTTTTCTATACGTTTCCTTATTCAGTAAATGATACGTTCTATCTCGAATTCTCGTCTTTCTATTTTCTTTCTCCAAGTACATGTAGCAATTTAACATCAGAAGTCCCTGCGTTTTTTTTACTTGATAAAGAATTTCAAACTTTCATTAAAATGTCAGAAATCATTTCATTGTGTCTTTCAGGGACCTATATATTAGACAGTATATATGTCCCTGTTTCTATACGTCGATTGCCATATATAAAAATTTCAACGGCGATGTTTTCCATTGACACCTCCCTTTAAAAATAACGATCTCGAAAGATGAATTTTCTTTCAGAATTGACGGTGTCAGTATAATACATGTAGTTTACGATCCTTATCCCTGTACCTGACCAAAAAATCATGTCTTCTGTGTCTTCAACATTTCGAAAGTACGTCATCACATGCACTCATTCCGAATTTTTTATCAGTGATTTGCAGCAGCAGCAGCGCCTTAGCAAAATATGATCCTTGCAAATGGAGACAGCTATTTGTACTACAGACTCCCGACCGCGCCTTTACACCATGTAATAGGCGATGCTAATAATCAACTTGCTTTTCTCTCATTGGTCCTTTGGTACAAGTAACTTACACACAGTAGATATTATTTGGCTATCGGTAAATACACTCAAAGTTTTTATTCACTCGGGGTTCCGCCCCTCGTGAATGAAAAACTGTGAGTGTATTTACCGATAGGCAATTAATATCTATCGTGTAACTATAACATCGATAATATCTTTTATTGAAGAGAGTCAGCTATTTACGTATCCCGGTCGGCCTTTCCTCTGTCGTTCGTGACAACAATAATGCAAAAGAACAACACTAAGCTGGATGCTTAAAAACATAAGATTCGTACATATCGAAAGCTTGCGTTCTGTTATATTTGGAATGTGTTGCTAGAATCGTGAGGTAAACATGGTTTGAAGAAATATCCCGGGTTATATGTATATGAAGCAGAACATCGGGTAAGGTTTCGTGCGAATATGTGAAATACCCCGGTAATAATTTTCCCGACCGGACAGTAGGATTCTAGCAGCACTTTTTAGGCATAAGAGATGTTTTTCATCTATACTATTTACTCAAAGAAATTATTAAACCCCGCGGTAGTGTTGTTCTGTTAACTTTTTAAAGGAATATTTTGCCATTAATAGCAGTCACCCGATGACATCGTGGTGGTGCACATCTTGGCCCCAGACACTCTGTTGTCTTTATCCAATAGTTAATAATAGTTAAAGTTTTATCGGCGACTTTGATCAATTATCAAACTTAATTTTCTTTAAAAAGTTTAAATTTCCCAAGAAATAATTTGTACGCTTCCTTAAAATACCCGTGCCGTATAGACTGGCCACATCCTTTGCAGGCAGCACCCAGATCATTATTCGGCAATTTTACACTTTTTTGTAAAATATAACATTCATAAATCACAAAGCAACGAATAAAACATTTACTTTTGTTATTCATTGATAGACGTCAATGAGTCTTAGGCTAAAAGAAGCACCCCACTACACAGGAAAAATGTCAACATGTGTTAAACATATGTTAAACATGTGATCAACATATGTTTTTTACACATGTAAAACACATAAAAAGAGCACACATGTAAAGGGTGTTTATTTTTACACATGTTCAACATATGTTTAACATGTGTTAAACATGTGTGAAAATAAACACATGGTATATTTGCACATATAAAACATGTGTTGAACATGTGTAATATACACGTTTTACTTTATATGTGAATTACACATGTATATATTACTGTTGTGCTTAATATCATTTTTACTTTTTTCTTGTCTTTCAATACAGTTAATTTAATCATGCATGGTGATTGAATAATTTGTCTGCAGTAACTGTTAGCTGAATTAGAAGGTCTACATCTTGGTTGATTCCTTGTTGAACAAAATACAATGACACATCAGTGTATTACAGGGTCAGCTCTGCTCATGCAGTCCATCTTTAATTATTTTCCTTGAATGGATTATATTACAATAACAAAATACATATATTGGTTTCAAGTTCTTTATTTCACGTACCAAATTATAATTTCATTTCTCTCTATCCTGCTCCTACAATTTAAAAAAGTGAATTACTTAATAATTTAGAAAAATAGATCTTTTGAGTCTTTTTTAAATCTTTGTTTAAACTTATTGCATTTAAAATGTCAGGATCAAGTTCTTAATCAAGGTGACTTACCTCTCGATATCGCCTAATTCTTCTCTCCTCCTTCTCTTGGAGGAGTTCCCATATGTTGGGTCTTTCATCTCTTCCGATTGCATCATAGAAATCTGAAAAAAAGAAATGAAAATGTTCATGAGGATGCATCAGGTGTTCAACCTTTCCAGGCCTTATCCATGTTATCATCAATTTAATTAAATATTATATGAACTTTCATGATGATTTGCCAGTTGCAAACACTAATGTTTCACCAGCAAAGGTAAAAAATGTGTGTTGCCAGTTAACTCAGTTTGCAAGTATTAAATCACCATGAACGGTAACAATAAGTAACAAAATGGAATACTTACGAATTCCCTAAATTTAGTGAAATTTTGTGATCTTGAGTGTTTAACAAGAGGCTCAGAAGCCACATTATGCTCATCTGATTTACTATAGCCCTGCTGTTCTTCGATCATCATATATAAATATTGCATGTAGTTGAGTGTAACATTGAAAATTTTCAATGTTACACTCAACTACATGCAATATTTATTATATTATACTGAATGTTTTATACAATACAGATAACAGTGAACCTTGCACGCATAAATTCTGCACAGTCGCTATTTTTTGGAATGTCACCCGTCGTCAAGCAATGTTGACTGTTGCTACGCTGTAGGGCGTGGCTTTATTATTCAGTGGGTAATAGTGTTTTTTAACAAATGTTTCTCAACGAATCAGATTCAACTAATTTACATGAAAGTATATTATTCAAAAATATGCCCTGTAATTGAAGATTCAGGGGTATATAGTTTTTGCCCTGTCCATCTGTCAATCTGTTTGTCCGCAAAAACTTTAATCTTGCCTTTAACTTTGATATGTTGGAGCTGACTTGCTTCCATATTTGTATTCCTAATTATGATTAAAAATATGTTTCACCTTTTTAGACCAGCAGTTCTCTAGACGAAGAATTTTAAAAGATGCAAGAATTTTTTTTTTAGTTCTTGATTATCTCCCCTTGGAAGAGGGTGTGGCCATTAATTTGAAACAAGGATGCTTTGTCAAAAGTTTGGTTGAAATTGGTCCCGTGTTTTATGAAAGAAATCTTAAAAGTGAAAAGTTCATAACATCATTTCTAGCAGTGTCATGTCATAGTTCAACTCTTAATTTTCACAGTTGTTACAGCAAAACATTTGTTCACCATGTTCACTATTCAAAGTTAGTACATCCTTACCTTTAAATTCAACCCAAAACTTGCTGCATTCTTCAAATTTTTTACTGAATAGAAATGCTCTCTGAAATGTTAAAGTTTGACTTTTAAGTAATTTTCCCCTTACATTCAGGCTTCACTACAAATTGATCAACATTATATAAATTATGCTACCTAAGACAATATCTACAAACCAGGGATGGGTTCAATTACTTTAAAAAGTAATTAATTAAATTACAATTACTTTGACTTATTCTTTATTTAAATCACAATTAAATTACAGACTTTCTAAGACATGTAATTAATTAAATTACAATTACTTTGCAAAAGTAATTAATTAAATTACAAATTACATTTTTTAATTTTTTTGAAAATTTTTATAATCCTTGTCAATGAATATACAGAACATCATTTATTTGTATATAAGCCCAGCCGCTGCACAAGCAATACAAGAAATAATATGCTACAGGCATTGTGTATCATTGTGGTTTAATTTATAAACATTAAAGAATCTCTTAAAAAACTATCCAAGATCAGTTTGATGCAGTTTCCACCACACAAAACCTACATGTACACAAATTGCATGGCTTATGATATTTGATTGAAAGTGAGTATTTTAACAGAGTGAAATGAGTCGCAACTGTAACCCTTCAAATTGAATATTTCCTTTGAAGGTAACCTGAACATCCTAAATTGCTATTTACTTTGAACAATTTTACTTCATAAATCAGAATTGTACAGATAGAAATTTCATTCATAAAATTCTGTTTATATGTTAAAATAATTATCAAATGAAAAGTTTTTCTTTTCTAAAGCTAGCGGAGCATTTTAAATTGAAATAATTATCTCCACTGGCTTTGTCTTCTAAATCATGGAATGAATATCTCTTTAGAGGAGTTGATTTGTTTTGATTGCAATTTAAAGCTGTGACCTGGAGGGCAATTATCTCTTCCCAACAAGAGAGAACTTAATTAATGACACACACCTTCTTTTTCTTTATTATTGATCAAACAACAAAGATTGAAATATAATAAATGTCTGTTTCATAGCTGAATAGACCTAAGAAGGGTGGTTCAAAATTCATATTTATAAACAGAGATCGAAAAATTCAAAATTTACATAATGATTAGAAAGAAACTAGTTTATTATTATCAAGCCAATCATTTAATTATTTTTTTGTAAGCATTAACTTAAAATTTTGTATAATTGAAAGATTGAGGATATGTTTAACAAAATAAACCAGTAAAATGGGGAGGTAGTGGTGATGATATATCATGAATATATCATGAATGTGTATTAAATAAAGTAATTGAATGTAATTGAAATTACATGGTATTTTTTCAGTGTAATTAATTAAATTACAAGTAATTGAAAAAATGTTCAATTAAAAGTCTTGTCAGTAATTTTAAGGATAGTGATTATTCCATGTAATATTTTGGAATCTCTGTGAGAAACTTATCTTTTGATATTTATAACAAAGTAGAATTATTAGAATCCATATGAATTCTGGTAATTATTCACATGGAGTGATTGTCTCAAATGAGTGAACAGAAATTTAAGTCCGAGTGTTTGATCTGATTGTTCCCTTTGGGGTCTTGACATGCTTCTATTATGTTTCCTATTCTTATTTGAATGTTTTGATGTTCCATAGTATATATGTGAATCATATTTATAAAGGCTATGTTCTTGATTACTTTTTGAATTTATTCTTTATGAACACTGGAGCATATATATAACATTATTGAAAGTCAAATATAAGTATATATACTTTGACAAGTGTTTTCATTTTCTCATAATGTAAAAGGAGAATCATTCAAAGAAAGAAAAAGTAGTACTGGTATTCTATTTTCCATTAGAATATGTTCATTTGAAATTTGCATTAATATCTTAATTATTTAGAAATTACGAAAGCCGGATAGGCTCATTTTTGACAAGATAAAAAAATAATTAACTCGTTATAACGAGTTAGTATCTCGTTATAACGAGATAATTATCTCGTTATAATGAGTTAGTATCTCGTTATAACGAGTTAGTTATCTCGTTATAACGAGTTAGTTATCTCGTTATAACGAGATAATTATCTCGTTATAACGAGTTAGTTATGTCGTTATAACGAGACAGTTTTCTTGTTATTTTGAGACTTAATAGCAATATCGGAATAAAAATGGCTGCAGTTTTAAATGCCATTGAATTTTTAGCAAGTAATTATCAGTCAAATTTAACTTGAACAATTGATAAATGGTTGAAAATTTAATTTGCTCTGGGGTTTACTTTTGATTAAATCTTGAACTATCTCGCTGTCAATAATCATAGCAACTCTAAGGCGAACACATTCACACATTTTCGTGAACTCCTCCTCAAATTGTTGCATTAGGACGCGATATTTTTCTTAAAATAATATTGCCAAACATACTTGCTTCAAACTTTGGCAATTTATTTATGACAACTATTTCTGATGAATGACACTATTTCGATATGTTTTGGACGACTTATACACTTTCATATATCAATTTCTATACCACTAAAATTAAATATCAGAGACAATATAAGTGCAACATATCGTTTATGCAACATATAATATATAGATTACAGTGTTATACATATGTTACTTCTGAGATTCAGAAATGTTTTGAAGACGGGGGATGGTGAGACATCAGCAGTTAGATCATAGGCGTAGTAATAGAGGGGCTAATGTCCACACCACCACTTTTGAAAAGGGGGCGGTCAAGAGTATCTTTGTGCCCTTCCTCCATATTTTTTTTACCTGAGTAAATATCTCCCGAAAATAATGGCGAATACTCGTAGTTGGAATATCAAATCTATTTTTTTTCTTTTTACTTGTCAAATATTTTACTTGGTTTAACCCCCCCCCCCAACCATTGAACTTTGTGACTTAGCTTAATATGCATATTGTCCACGATAATGAGGAATGGTGAAGCAAAAATGATATTACATCCTTTTAAGTAATAAGACGTTAAATCTGATCTGCTGATATTGACATTTTATTTAATATTCTGTCATGATTCACTGTTTATATTTTTTGCGGGGGGGGGGGGGGGGGTCCAAGTTGTGGAGATTCACGGAGACCTATTTGAGATTCACGTCTATTTGGCGGATCCTATATGTTTACCACATAGTGTCAGAACGTCAAACCAGAGTTTACAAGACAAAAAAAAGTTTACAGAGTTTACAAAGCCAGTTCACTTTTATAATCTTTTTATTTAGGATTGATGAACAAATAGGTCTAATACTACATTTATATTACTAATACATCATTGAAGCAATGTCGTTAATTATTTTCCTCATCACAATATTTATTATGTATACTTTACAAGCATATAATTTTTATTTCAAAAAGAGATTGATGATTTTTTTTTGGGGGGGGGGGGTAATAAATAGAGGATATTCAATGTTTTATAGTTGATATGGAATTTATTTCACGAATGGGACAGGAATTTTTTTTATATTTTCATGAGTGCGAAGCTCGAGTGAAAATATCAAAAATCCTGTCTCAACATACAATACACATTTCTTGTCAAAATTTATGCTTGAAATACACCTTAAGTAATGTTTATCATATTGTAAACTTTAGATATTAAACTTTCATTCTATACCCAAAAAGGATCTCGTTATAACGAGACAACTAACTCGTTATAACGAGATAATTATCTCGTTATAACGAGATAACTAACTCGTTATAACGAGATACTACCATCCAAAAAATGAATAGTTTATATTACGTTTTGTATGTTTCTATATATGTATTTTAAAGACTTCAAAAAAATCTTTCAATAAAAAATTTTTATTTATAAATTTCACATCATATAGCTTACTATGACGTCATATTGGAAAGACAAGAAGAAAGGACAAGGTATGGTAACAGAAAAGAACTTTAAATTTTGCTTGTTTTAAAACCAGCAATAATTTTGATTCAAATAGTACAGGGAGGCCAAAAGAGGGCGCCAAAGTTGGATAATTTTACGAATTTCCTCAATTCTGATGGAATTTTGTCAAATTTGAGGTACTTTTCACTTTGGGAAACATAGAGCACAAGCTTGCCTATCTGAGATTTTTATTCATCAGTAGCATCGAATACTAGTGCATTAAATATATAAATTTGGTAGATAGGCAAGTTTATGCTCTGTGTTTTCTGATACAAAATGTGCTTTGAAATTAATGAAAATTTGCATAAAAAGGAGAAAATTCGGAAATTGACATATTTTGTGACTTACCTGCGTACCCCATAACATAGAATCAATACTCATTTTGATAGAGGGATGACAACAGGTTAGTGTTGATGAACTATTGCATCTCTCCTGGAGACACCATAAATCAAGGGCCAAAAAGGGGTCTTAGCCAATCTTGTCCTTTGTTCCTTTGTGTGTAGTCTTAACATACCCGCCTTGTCATGATTAAGCAAACTAAAAAATTCGTAGACAATTCAGTATGAAAATAATGGCCTAACAATTCGTATGAAAAACGTCAGTCAATATTCGAATTATTACGATAGACTGTACATGTTGAGAAGGTCATTGTATCGACCATGGAGTTTGCGAGACGTTGACTTTAAACGATATTGTTGATGATTTTTTATCAGCAACTGATTTATCAATAGCTTTCCTCGTTTTGTACGTGGAATATGCTATTCCATATCGCTTTCATTGGGAGAAATAAACTCCATATGTAGGTGAATGATGGTATACTGCTAAATAAATAAGGGAAGTTGACAATAGAAATGTTGAAATCATCAGGTTTACCATAAAGTTTTGTTGTTAGTTTGTGATTAATCTAATATCCTTTTCTAGAAAAATATCCAAATATGAAACAGATCTGTCACACTCTGTTGTGTTTTTATCGAGTTCAAAGAATATATAAATCGAAACAACGTAGGAATGATTTTTTTTTTAAACTCTGCTTCATATGAATACAAAAACTGGCCTGTTTTTAACGGGACACAATTAGTATCGACGGGAATTCCAACAGATTGTTCTCCAAAAAATACATACATGTACTTGTACACTGTAGATATTGTCAATCAGAAACTCAAGCATCTTCTTAAGGGGGACCGACCCTGTGGTAAGAGAGATAACTTTCCAAGTAC